CTTGAAAGGTCAGCAACGGGTGGGGGACACGTTTGAGTCATCTGATATTCCCCCAAAAGTCCGAGTGAAACACTAACCTTGAAATCTGTGCTTGCTTTCAGCCAAGAGTTCCGATGGCGCGCTGCACGGATGCACCCGTGATACTCCTGTTGCTGTTTTTTTTACAACAGGTGTGTATGGGGATTTGCCGTTCAACCCAAGAAAGATCTTCAGTGTCCTCTTAACAAAAGGAAGCAACAATGCGGACCCTTTAGATGGGCAAGCATTTGGAAGCATCCTCGCAGAGCTGCGTCACTCAAAGGATCTGGACAATCGCAAAGAAAAAATAAATAGAATACAGTTGGCACCGCATTGACGATGATTTTTTTGTTTGTTTGTTTTGTTTTGTTCTGTTTTTTTAAATTGAACCATAAAAAACATGGCGCAACTGTCAAAGAAGAAGCAGAATGCCCTGGCTGCTGCATTGTATTATAATGATACAAAACGATGGAAATCGGCGAGAATTAAAGGTGAGACTTGAGATATTTGGGACGGGGACTCTTCACATTTTGCCTTTTTGGCCACATGAGAATTGAATAGAATAGATATATGTGTAGATAATATGTGTTTTTCTCACCAGCACAGGATGCAGCCACGACATAAAATACAAATATTGACATCCATAAAACCTGGAGTAGACACATTAAAAACTCACGTAAGACAATCGGATTGTCAATAAAGTAAATAAAACGTCAATGTGGAGCAATTCAGGCGTTGGCAATTGATGGAACTAATTTTTTGAAAGTGAAGTTAACTCTTATGAAACCCTTAATATAGTATTTCAATCAAACACGAATATCTCTCCGTCTATCTATCTGAACACATGCATACACACCCACAGGCAAGCATGACAGAAAATGAATGGATGGATGGAATGGCTCATCAATATGATAAATGTCTGTCCAATTTCTCTTTTATCGTATTTTTCTTCCCTTGTCACCTCTCTTCTATGGACTGTTTATTGCTGCGAGGCACAATAAGAATGACTTAGCGGGCCATCCAATACCTGACGACTGAGTCAACTGAGGTCAAAGGTTCAACCCGTACACGCTCCTTTCTCCCAGTCACAGTTCTCAACGGATCTCTCAGGGATTATTTCTCTTTGTCAGAGCGAGCGAATTTCTCTTGGTTCGAAGGATATCCGATCCCGGGTGTTCCAAGGAAGCGGCGGTTAAAGGTCACATTTGGACTTTTAGCAACATCACACGGAAAAATAACAGACTGACAAATGCGGACTCAATCGGGGTATACAAGCATATCGGGATGGATTTCTGTTCACTTCTGATCAATTATTATATAAATACCCGGAGAAAAGCCACGCAGACCCAGCGAGAACATGCAAACTCCACACAGGGAGGCCGAAGCTGGGATCGAACCCGGTACCTCTGCACTGCGAGGTCAACGCGCTAACCGTTCCACCACCGGGCCGCCCTGTGTGGGATCCATCACATGTTAAAAATCATTTAGGAAGTGAAAACTCGCTATGTGTGTACCCGCGTTTCACTTTTAGGATCAGTTGGGCCTCCTATCCGAGTCAGTTCATTCAGTCTATGGATTCACTTTAGAAATCTCTCACCAGGCACAACCAAAAGAAACATTCACCCTCGGTTTGCACAAGACTATAAACTCTACGCTCATGAAAACTGTATGACCTAAACTGTTTACACGGCACTCGCAACCAGACTGGGAAAACTTAGCTCGGCCGTGTCTCTCCCCGCAGGACAATTAGATTGCTATTGAACCAAATTTGTCAATTCTAAAAAAGTACAACCGGGAATACTGCCGTGTTTTCGTTTATTATTAAATTAGATGTTGAGCGGCTTCATGTTTCACATAGCAGAGAAAGTGAGCGGTGCAAGATGAAATGGCGACGTGAAAAAAAAAAAAAATATGCTACAACAAAAAAAACTTTCCAGCCAATAATGACAAAGTATGATGTTAACCTGGCTGGCTTTTCCGATTCAAACGTTCTCACGTCTCTCGACGCGGCCGTCGAGTTCAGCTGAGACTGCAACTGACAGCTTTCACACATTTGAATGAATGTCACGGAACGGCAACATACTTAGCAGTGCAGACCGGGAAGCAATGAAACGTGCGTGTGCGTGTGTGCGTGTGCGTGTGCGTGTGTGTGTGTGTGTGTGTGTGTGTGTGTGGAGCGGGGAAAGAAATAGAATCAGAAACGACAGACATTTTGGCAACATGCGCCACTCCAGATGTTGCATTGCAGCACGTCTACAACGTGTGTCAAAAAAAAAAAAAGAAATCGCTAATGTCGGCTTGGGAGCAACGCGTGTCTGTCAAATTCAAATTGGAGAAAATTGGGCCTCTGACGACGATCAGGTTAGTTTCACTATTTTAACAAAGACAATTGGGAAAGGGCTGATGACAATATTTTGAGGCGGATGTGAAATTTGAAAAGAAAAATAGTCATTTGAATGAGAAAAAAAAACATTTGAGGGATGACGTCTTACTTTGACTTGGGTCATATTATTCTCAAGGAACAGTACTCAACTCAACTCAACTCAAGTGTATTTCTAGAGCCCTTAAAAAAAAACCCCACCGCTGTGCTGTCTACAAAGTGGTGTACATGGATCAAAAATAATTCATACAACAACAAATATTAAAACAAATCATGAACAACAAAGACAGTAGAAAGCACAAAACCAGTCAAACGTAAAATCAAGTCTCATGCTTAGTCGGAAGCTAAAGAATAAAAACGAGTTTTAAAGATGGGCAGCTTACCCAACGTTCATTCCGTTCTCGGTACCTCTAAATCAGGGGTAGGGAACTCCAGTTCCTCGAGAGCCATCTCCTACCCGTTTTAGGTCCTTCCCTCCTCCAACACACCCGATTCAATTGTTCAGGCCCTCGACAGAGCTTGCTGATGAGCTGATCGTTTGAATCAGGTGTGTTGGAGTAGGGAAGGACCTAAAACAGGCAGGAGATGGCTCCCGAGGAACCAGAGTTCCCCACTCTTGCTTTAAATAGCGTCTGATCCGCAGACCCGAGCCGCCGTGCGGCCGCGGAGGAGCTCCGAGAGGTAAGGCGAGGTGAGGCCATTTCAAGATTTGAAAACAAATAATAGATCTTAAAAAAGAACTCGAAATTGTATTGGGAGCCAGTGAAGGGATGCCAGGAGTAGGAGTGATGTGCTCCCTCCTACGAGTAGCAGTCAAGAGGCGAGCAGCGGCATTCTGGACCAACTGGAGACGCTTGATGGAGGATCGGCCGACTCCGAAGTCAAGTGCGTTACAGTAATCCAGCCGAGGAGTGACAAAGGCATGAGTGACTGTTTCAAAGTTCTCTTGAGCAAGAAGAAGGTTGACTTTAGCCAACTGCCCAAGACGAAAGAAGCTGGATTTAACGACGACACCAATTTCCCAGTCCAATTTCAAATCAGTTTTTGGCTATGGTCATCCAGGCATCTTCTGGCTTGACCTTAGACAGGTCAGAGATGAGCTTTTTTTACTTGATATGAATTCCAAACAAAAAAAAAATGTCTTCCTAACCCAAAATGCAAAACTAGATGGGAATGCCACCGATGCATGTTGAGGGCTGAGTAACAGAATGCGCATCGTTTCACATCGAATGACTGCTGCTAGTCTGGATCTGGATGGTTCCCATTTGGATGAGAGCAATATATTTCGGACGGAAATTTCCGAAGCCACAAAATCTGCCGGCGGACTTTGCTTTGTTGACACGGAAGTACAGGAATTGGACACCACAATTGCTTTTGCTCAATCCACAAATGAGCTGCTGTGATGAACACATCAGAGAGAACTTTTCAACTGTTCGGTGACCTTGCACAGTAAATTTGCGCATGGCAACTTAATTGCATCGGAACAAGGAGTTGATTTGAGAGATTTATGACTCTGGGGACTTTTCACGGCTGCGAATTTGCTTCCCTTCGCTGTGAGGTGGTGGGGGGGTAAACTTCCTGTCGCTTTAAGTTGCTCATCAAAATGTGGTCTTCAGCAACAACGGAGGCGGTAAAGGGAACATTTCACAGTTAAATAATGTCGATGAAAGTCAAATTGAGAGTTTTGAAGCAATGTTGGCGTTAGCTGAGGTAGTCAAAGCACGGAGAGAGTCAATCAGGAAATTACCCAATTGTGAAATCTATGTATTTAAAAAAAAAAAAAACAAGACTAGGGTCGAACCGATTAACGTAATGTTAGCGCTTTTATAATAAGATAAGATTTTTGCCAATTTTTTTTGGGGGGGGGTACGTCAACACATTCAACTTTATTTACACAGCACTTGAAAAACAACCACAGCTGCCCATCAAGTAAAAATCAGACAAATGAAAACAAAGACTGTTCAAACTATCAAGTCATAATATACTCACAGTAAAAACAATCAAATACTAAAACAGTGCAAAACAGTCTCGTGCTGAGTCGAAAGCCAACGAATAAAAATGTCTTTTTTGGAGTTTACTTCACGTTTAACAGGAGGTCATTCCAAAGGGAGTGACGGGCAACGGAAAAAGCTCCATCCCCTAAAGCTCGGCTCGTCCTCAACGCCTCCGTTAGCGTCTGGTCGGCCGACCTGAGGCGCCGGGCGGGTGGGTAGAGGCGGAGGAGCTCAGAGAGGGAAGTTGGGGGTGAGACCATTTCAAGATTTCAAGACAAATCAAAGAATCTTAAATGGAACTCCAAAATGTACAGTGAAGTAGGCCACACTTGGAGTTGCAGTATATGCTCCCTCCTACGAGTTCCACTTAGTAGGCAAATTAGCGCCATTTTGGACCAACTGGAAATGCTTGAGGGAGGACTGTTTAACTTGAAAATGAAAGAATCCAGCCGAGATGTGACAAAGGCATGGACTACTAAGGGCTAGTTTTGCCTCCTTTTTATTTTATTTTATTTTATTTTTAGTTGGACTTTTTGCACCATCCTCCTCCTCCCCCCCCAAGAGAAAAAAATTGTGCGGGGAGCGCTGCAGGCGAACTTGGTTGGGCATTGTTGCGCTCCTCTTCATCTCCGCGGGATCTCGATCCTTCTTGAACGAGACACTTGACCTTCCTCGACGATCGCCTTCTGCAAGAGTGACGTAAAGAACAAAAAAAAAAACGAGAAGAAAGAAGAAGTGGGCCGGCGCATGGCGAAGTGCACAGCAGTTTGGAGCGAACATCCTAAGTGGCGCACGGAGAGTTCTCGCCCAGCGTCTTTTTTTTTTTTTCCGGTGCGTGTTGTCGCTCTCAGTGGGATGTTACGTTCGTGACAACTCTTTTTTTGGGGACTGGCGCGTGTGCGTGCACGCAGGTGTGACAAGCAGAGACTTTTTTTTTTCTCCCCCTCCCCACCCTTCTTCTAACACGTCAGAGAATTGATGACTCCCCCGCCGCGTGTGGAGCGCAGGACCACTCTTGTCTGTGACTTAACTCAACTTTGCGCTCGGAATATTGGACAGCCTTGTCGCTTTATTTCTGTGTCGTCACAGTTTTTTTTGAAAATTACTTTGTAGTCTCGAAAGACAAACATGATGGAACACTCATTCATCAGAGTCACGTGCATCTTGGTGGTTTTCTGCCTGCTTGACAAAAGGTGAGTTCGCAAACTTTTTTTTTTTTGTACAAGCGCTACCTCGAGTTTCCCCGGAATGACCAACAACTGCATACAGTAGCGTAGTAGGTCTAAGAGTTTATTAAAGACTAGGCAGGCGGGGGTTTTATTCTTCAAAAAGTATGCTTCAAAAAAGCCACTGGAACATTATTGAACATCTATGCTTGCATTTACACTGAAAAAATGATGTGTTGATTTTTTTTCTCATTGGATCAAACGGTTGCATGCAATAAAAGTATCTGGCTCCAGATAATTTTTTTTTAAGTGTACATCTACTTTTAAAAAAATATCTAATTCCAGAGGATTCTATTGTGTGCAATCCCTTGACAAAATAAAATGGAGTAAATTCAACACACCGTTTTTCAGGGCACGTATAGAAAAAGTAGGGAAAAGAAGGACTCGACATGGAAAGTAAAAAAAAAAGAAAAAGTTCTGCATTCTGCATTGGATGAAAAATAATTTAAAAAAGAGGCTGTGTGGACACCTCCAAGCATCATTTATCGTTTCTCACGTTTCAAATGTTAATGTGATATAGATTTAATTTTGCGCATCCCTAGAAGGGGCAAACACCGCAGTAGAACCATTCATGTTGATTGGTATCATTAAAAAAAAATTGGATCAAAAGTTGCACCAACTTTGCGTTGTTCTGCACAAAATGACCCATTTTGGGGCAGTTTTGCACAAAAAAAAATAAAATGGGTTGATTTGTTTAAAACAACTTGGGTCAAATTGACCCAAGCGGGTCAGTCCACCGTCCTGGGTTATTTTTTTTTTGACCCAGCACTTTGAAGAGCAGATTGCCATATGATTCATGCAAATATTTTGAACAGCACTTAGAAATAGTTGTACTGTACATGTAAAGAAAAGAAAAAAAAAGTCCTGTACTGGATTAAAGCAGCCCTAAAAAGCACCAAGCTTCATTCTAATATTTCTTTTTCCTGGTTTTACATCGTAGTTCAGTGATTCATTTGCATCGCATCACACTTTGAGTGTGATGCGACTAAAGTCATTGATGGCTGTCATTTAGGCCCTAAAAACGTGTCCACGTCTTCATTTAAAGGTCATTTCCTTTTTTCATAACATACTGATGACACAATACTGTATCAGCCGGCGTGACTGGAATACAACCAACGGGACGAGACTTGATGTGTGCACTCAACCTGAATATTTACGACAGCGAAATAATGAAATAATCATTACGTCTGTTTCCACTGGCGTTGATCACCTTTGGCCAATTACACGGTTGGCCATGCGGCCCTCCTTCTCAAACAATGTTTCTCTTAATTAGACGTTGCGCTTTGGGAAAGAGCTGTCGGAACAGGCCTCCGCTCAAAGCAGGAAACGCAACAGGTAGTAACAGACGCCCAAATGGAATTACAGCTGAGGGCGCGCAATCAAAAAGCAATGCCACCGTCACAGATGATCAACATCTAAGGCGCTTTGATTCATGTCCAATGTTCCTTTTTTTTTTTTTTTTTTTTTTTAATTTCCCAGAAAACACAAAAGACGTTTGTTCCCTTAATTGGCTCGCTCGCGCACACGCAAAAAACACGCGGTGATGAAATATGGAGAGAACGTGTGCAAAACTTCCAGCGGCATGTCAAGTCACAGTCAAGCATGTACAGATGTGCGTGTGCGCCTGCAGCCACGCCGCAGGTCGGGTGTCCAGGCCACACGGTGACACACACACACACACACACACACACACACACACACACACACACACTGCGCTTGAAAAACGCCGGGGCACCTTCTCTCTCCGCGAAAGCAGCTCTCTCATCACAGGGGCAGCCTGTGTTTTCCCTGTTACGCTTTTTTTACGGTTTGTCTGTGATGTGGAAAAAAAATGCTCTCTCTTTAGCCGCTGTCAGCTCAATGACTGTGCTTGGCATGATTGATCTGCAACGGTTGCAGATGATGTTGATGCGCCAACCTACACTTTGAGCTCTATTCTCCTGCCCGGTGCAATTTCTTTTTATTTCCCGCGAGGCGAGGTGGAAATCTGCGCAGGGGGCGGGCCGGATTCGATATGTTTGCAGACTTGTGCTAGCGCCGTTGTGGGTGTGAACAGAGAGAACATTGAGTCGCTGCCAATCGATGCGGCTCCTCTCATTCCTTTTAAATGCGGTGCGTGAGAGGAGCTGGCGGAAGAAGAAACTGATTTGATCGTCTTCTGCGGCAGGTCGAGGCGCACAAAGGATGTTTATAAGGAACTGAAGGATGATCTAAAGTTGCCAAGGGAGATCGCGGATCTGTGATGAAGGCACTTGGAGGGCACTTGTGTGTGTGACACGACCATCACCATCGCGGCATGATATTGAAAATATTTCACAATAATGCGTGCAATGAAGGTGTCAAGTTTAGTGGACTTTGAGCCACTAAATTGGCAGGTTGTGCCAGGAAAGGAAAGTGGCTCGGAGAGATGACCCCAATTTCCAAACAAGTGCCTGGAGCCTTGCATCAGCACAAAAATCAGAACAGGCCAGTTTTTGACACAATCCGTGACTATAAAAGCCACTTAATTTGTTCTTTGAGCGTATGCAAATTAGTTATCTCTTGTATAATTTTTTTTTTAATCTTTTGACACTGATAATAATTTGAGTCCATTTATATGCTCTTAAATCACAAAAGAGTGTGAACACAGGCTCCAAAATGCATGATTCAAATGATCAGCCCATCTGCAAGCTTTGCAGAAGCTTGATCATGAATCGAGTGTGTTGGAGGAGGGAGACATTTAATCAGGCTGGATGGGGCTCTGGAGGACTCGACTGCAGTTCCCCTGGTGTACAGTAAACATTTAGGCAAGTGCAGAATTTATAAATGATCAAATATGGATCACGGCTCAAGAAAATTGGGTTCCAAGTTTAAGGGACTCACCGACACTGGATGTTTTTTTTTTTTTTTTTTCAGCATGTCGAGTATTTGTCCAATCACATGACCCTGTTTCCCATGCAGGGTAGACTCCAATGAAATCTTGGGCCTGAAGCTGCCCAACATCGACCCGATCCTGAACGCCAACACGGTGTGCCTGACGTTACCTGGCTTGACCCGGCGCCAGCTGGAGGTGTGCATGCGCAACCCGGACGTGACGGCCTCGGCCATCCAGGGAATCCAGATCGCCATCCACGAGTGCCAGCATCAGTTCCGAGGGCACCGCTGGAACTGTTCCAGCCTGGAGACCAGGAACAAAATACCGTATGACAGCATCGTCTTCAAAAGAGGTCAGACTCACAAACAACGTTTTCAAAGCGGCGTTTCGCCGTTTTGACTGAGCTTTTGAGAACCGCCGAATATTGTGTTCTGTGAAAATTGGGCTTACGTGCAACCATCTTCCGCGTTTCCGTCCAGTTCGGGTGACAGACAGGTGGTAGAATGGGACGAAGCGCTTGCAGGAATACTTGACAACGGCTTTTGTTTTCCCGCATGATGTCGTCAAGTGCTACCAAAAACGATCATATAGAGAGTCGCGCTGGCGATCGGGAATATCGGGAAATTGTGATGATTTTTCCGAACCGCATGATGGCCATCCCCCGCCCCATCACTGATTAACTTTCGGACCGTGATATCCGCCCTACACCGCCCCTCATCCCCTCCAGGTGACGATTCAGTCGCATGACGCTCACTGTTCGCCACGTCCAAGTCCACCGCCACCAATCTCCACCCCTCGCCCACCATCAACCCACCTCCCGTTGACTTTTGGGCACGTGATGGTTGAAAAATATTCCTTCAGCTCATTTTGGTCCCAGTACGCCCCTGACCATGGTTGCATGGTTACATATAATCTATCATAACAAATAAATGTATTTAACTTTTGTCCAAAGATATCAGCGATCAAGAAAACCGTATTCTGGCAAATTTAGGGTCAAACCTTTCAAGTTTGGTCCAGTTCTGAGTAGACTCTCTTCTTTTATTCCCCAAAAAGTTCTTTCTGGCTTTTTCAGTCTTTCGTAAGCGACAGTAGAACATGGGTGGATTTAATAAAAAAAAAAAAGGCAGTTTCTGACCAAAAAGCGGAGAAAACAAGCATTTTTTTGGGGGTGAGGGGTGGGGGGGGGTGAAAATAAATGCCAAACAGAAGCGTGATGAATACTTTTTGATTTTGTCACACCACAAACTATAAAACAAGAAAAACAAAAGTGAGAACGGGCTTTTGATGGCAAAATAGTCATTCGATTCAATTTGGAAAAAAGGTGGAAAGAAACATTGCGGAGACACGTGTGGTCCTTGAATGTATTTATATTGTCATGCTTACATTGCTTCCATGAAAAAGCCGTCGTGTGAAGCAACATGTCGTGCTTGAAAGTGAGCTCGAACACCACACACGCACACACACACACACACACACACGGAGGGAAAAGTATGGAGGCATCAATCCAAGGTTTGATGTTCAAACAGGTTGCGGTTTTCACACTCAACTTCACATTGGCGCAATTCCACCAAACGAGACGCTCATCGGACAGATAAGCTGCCACGGCGACACGCGTGGATGAACCTACTGTATGTTCGTGTAATCTATTTCTCGGCAGTCAAAGGGGGGGGGATCATGTTTTCGCTTGTTTCTGACTGCGAGCGCACAAGAGCAAATTATACACATGGTTACATCCGCTGGCTCCTTCCTACTTTGGAACCACCCGGCCGACGCCGCTGCACTGTCAGTGCTTCACACCAAAGATGAGCCGAGTTCAAAAGTTGGTCACCTGCAGATTACCAAACTTGGCGCAGATCAGTTTCCTCGGGCGTCGTTTGAAGTGTTGCGAGCGTTACAAGTTGGCTACAAAAGGATGAAAGCGGACCTTCGGGTCGTGCAGTCAACCCGAAGTTAGCGGCTGGAAAGGGAATCTGCTTCTTTTGGGGGTGCCAAGATTGATGAGCGGGGCTCTTGGGTTACGTACTCGTTTGAGTTGAAATGACTTTCGCCGAACGGGGAAGAGGAGCACCAATTTTTCCAGGGCTTAATCTTTTTACGCTTTCGTAAAGCGCCAAGCGCCACTGTGGGCTGAAATGACCCATTTGCACGGAAATGAAAGGAATTTGGCCATTTGTTGATCTGGCATGACTCCTTCTTGTGACTCGCCCGCGGATGACTGATAAGCTCCAAAGTTGCTTCGACGAGTCGGCGATATGTCTTGATAACTATTGTCTGGCATCTCAGAAATTTTGGACCCCGACGGGAATTATTTATTTTCTGATGCACAACTTGGAATTATAGCTAGCTTTGTCTGAATCCGCACATTTTTGCAAGTGAGCAAAAGTAGCGGAACACACTTCAAACTAACTTAGAGTGCGACTTGCTTGCGGTAACGACATCCCACCTGTGCCCCGTTGACTAGTACCGTGATTTTGCGATAGAATTTTGGGATGGCGTTCGAAGGCAGCCTCTCGCGGTAAGTCTTTTTTGTTGTGAGCACTTAAATCCGGAGATTGACTTGACCAGTCTGATACCTGTTGGGGTAATTTTCTATCTTTCCTGCACCATATTATAAGCACATATTGATATTTTGACTGTAAGTTAAATTGACTCAGACAATTATGCAATTAGGCTATTGATTTGAAAAAAAAATTACATATATACCACATAAGGCAATGTGACTTGAAAATAGTGGAGTTGAAACTTAATCAGTGAGTTCCCGCTTCACTGTGTCAGCCTCACCTTTCATCCTACTTTCCCGAACCAGAAACTCATTTAAAAGTTGTTTGTCACCATTAGAAGAGACACTTGCTCGTTAGAAATTGCTGCCTTGCCCCGGGGTGCCGAAAACTCCAAAACCGCCGATCATAAACAACACCTTTGAAAACGGATGATTCATAGGATCCATGTTGACTTTACTCTGCTCCACAAAAGCTACAAAGAGGCTCAAGTGAACAGGCGACAGACGCTCGCGGCCCGGCCACTACCGTTTGCCGCCATCAAAGAGACGGACGGCGTTTCCGTCTCCGGAGAGGAGATCATCAAGACTGATTTAATTCTTGGTGGAGCTGCTCAGATCGAATCAAGTCTGAGGGAGTTAATGTATTGGAAGCCACTTGAAGGCCGACCGAGAGAGTTTCGCGGATGTTCGCAGAGCGCGAGTCGAACCGTCGGGTGTCATTTTACGACACGGCGAAGGCTCAGATCCTCCGCCACGTACGGCTGTCTTGATGGATTGGATGAAATTTACGAGGCCATATTCCCTGGTATTTATCTCGCATCAAAAGCCGCCTCGAGAGGCGAGGCATGAAGAGACAGAAATAGGGGAATACCTCTCATTCTCTCGACTCTTCCCGCTCGCGTCTTCCCCGCAGGCTGGGCCGCTTCTAATGCTTTTTACTTCCCTCGCCGGTGCGAGTGCTCCTGAATTTCCTCTCAGCACTTTCCCAACTCTCGGCGGCAAAAGCGTAAACCGGCCCCCTTGGTTTCCGGAACGCAAAGTGACAGTTTCCCTTGAATCTTTAATTCATTTTGCCACTTCCTCTGCCATCAGTTCAGCCGGGCATGCCGCAGCCGGTGAATTATTTGTTAGATTGATTTGTTCCCCCGTCTTCTGGGGGCCTGCATTACAGCCGGCCCGGCTCAGTGCAGGGAAAGACCTAAAACGGGGTTTCTGTGTAGGGAGGCAGAGCCTAAGTGCTATCCAAATCTCATGGGGTGGGGTGGGGGGGTTTACAGTGGGAATCACTGAATAAAACAATTTGTCAAATACTGTATCACCAACCTTAAAAGTTGACTCAATTTTTTTTTTTTTTTTTGGTGCCCCCGAAACATTTTTATATGTATTCTCCATTATAAGTTTTTTTTTTTTTGGTTTTTTTAAAGTCAGGTAACTGTACCACTACTATCAGTGATTTGATTTCAATCAGACTTGGAAAAATCTGCATCACCCAAAAGTCAACAAAACTAGAATGGCGAGGCCAAAGTCAAACAATCCTCAACATGTTCGTCGGACTGTTTTGATTTGCAGAAATCTTGACGGCCCGACGGCTTCTCGTTATATGTATTCTCCATTATAAGTTTTTTTTTTTTTGGTTTTTTTAAAGTCAGGTAACTGTACCACTACTATCAGTGATTTGATTTCAATTAGACTTGGAAAAATATGCATCACCCAAAAGTCAACAATCCTCAACATGTTCGTCGGACTGTTTGGATTTGCAGAAATCTTGACGGCCCGACGGCTTCTCGTAAAGTTGTTTTTTTTTCTAACCGGGCCGCAACTGCTGGATCTGCACCGCTCGGCGTCAATGAAAGTGAAACGCAACAGCAAAGTGAAAATGAACATTTCCCAAATCGGCATCAAAACTCAATCGGCTTCTCATGTGCAGATTTTGGTTGTTTAACTCGAGTGTCATCCGAAATGTTGAACTGATCGAGAGAAAAAAAGATCAAATGATCAAACTCTTGTCAGCTGTCACATGGCGTAGCCAAATGGGGAGGAAAAAAAAATACGTCACTTTCAATTACAAGCTGTAAATGTGTAAAAACGAGCCCAAATTGTACATTCAAATGCTCGCGGCACAGTTCCTGCACATTTTAGCGTACGGCTAGCAGCGACTTTTTTTCTACGTCTCGGTGTGCTACTCATGTTTCGCAATCTCGGTTGCCCGAGGTCAAATATACCGGGATAGGGCGCCATTTTGGGGAAGAGGGTGTATGACAACTTTAAATTGTTTTTTGTTCTTTTTTTGCCATGCCCAACGTGTGTGCAAAGTTTTTGGTGAGTTTTGGTTTCTGTTTGGATCCTCCAAAAATGTGACTCATGGCAGAGAATTTAAAAAAAAAAAAAAAAAAAAAATCAAGGAATTGATTGATAGTCATCATTGACCTCTAAAAGCACATCGTAACAGTTGGCCGGTGACTGCACATCCTGCTTGTAATGAAAAGGATACCCCGGACGGACGGAACAATGTGTGTTTCTTCTGCGTGTCCTCTGGTGGGAGTGGCGACGGAGGTCGGTTCAAGCTCAGCTGCTCTTCAGGGACAAAGCAAACACTTAATTGCTCTTGTCCCAGATGTTTTCCTGTTTTTTGTGTATGTTGATTTTCGAGCTAATGGGCAAATCAAATCATCTGTGTCTCCATAGCCAAACAAGAGGAAGGTTAGTTTGTTTTGGATCATTAGGTAAGAATCTGCCTAAGCCTTACACATGTAACACATGTGATGACACATGGAACGGGAGTGTCGGCGGGTATCGGCCTCAACGTGGCGGTGCTGAGATTGATCCGAAATTAGCAGGGATTAGGTTCAATGGACTCGTGACCCTCCACGGGGTAAACAACAGCAAAGGAAAGGAATCGCTTCCTCGCTGTGATGCTACTTAAGCCCGTGCCGCACTCCCCCGAGCTGTCAGCTGAGCCAAAAGTCAGTCGAGACTGCAGATAGCTTCCTGTGTGCGGATCATTTTCAGGTCCGTTATTTTTTTTGCCTCATAAAGTGAAAAACTCACCATATGAGGCGACTTGAGCTACGTGCTGAGGGCAAAAAAAAAAAAAACATCAGCGTCGATGCTATTCCGGTGCACCTTTGAGGCCGGCGTAACGACGAGTCTTGAACGCAAACATCTTTGTATTTTCTGTTTATTAAAAAAATAAGGTATACAAAAAACGGTTCTCTTTATTTCTACATTTGTTTGTTTGTTTGGTCAAAAAAGCTACATCGCTTCTTGGCTTGAGCCGGCCTCATCTGTCTCTGTCCTGCTCACTCCTTCTCCACACTGTCCTCATTCGCCAGTCGCGTGACGTCACAACAAATAGTTCCGTCATAAGAAACATTGTGACACGCATAAAATAATAATGACAATTATTTCTAAGTTATAAAATATGCCAATGGAACATACAAAACTCAACCAATATTAAATTGGCACCTCCAATCAGGTAGCCAATCAAAACGTATCCTCTGTTGACATGATTTCAAGATGGCGCCCTCCCACCCCCGTGCGAAGTCGTCTGTTCAATTTGGTTCATGAAATCGGGCAAGGTAACATCTGGCCACAAATCGACCAATGCAGAGCTGCTCTATTTTCGTCACGAGGCCTCATGAGGTAGAAACAGCGAGCTATCTGCCAAGCAGATGTCTTGAATGACTCTCCGCTGTCAGTGCGCGTCAGGCTTTATTTTTATCCATTTCCAATTCTACTCGTCCTTATTCGGGTCATGGGCGAGCCTATGCCAGCTGACATCGGGCGAATGGCGACGTCGGCAATGGCGTTTGTTGCCTTACATCCATCTGAGGCTGGCTGACTGACTGAACAACTTTTGTTTCCGCACCCTCACAGGTTTCCGAGAGAGCGCCTTCGCCTACGCCATCGCGGCGGCGGGCGTGGTGCACGCGGTGGCCAACGCGTGCTCCATGGGCAAACTGAAGGCCTGCAGCTGCGACGAGAAGCGGCGCGGCGACGAGGAGGCCTTTCGGATCAAACTGCACCGCTTGCAACTGGAGGCCATCAATCGAGGAAAGGGGATGGTACACGGCGTGATGGAGCACTTCCCCGCAGAGCTGCCGGGACCGCAGGACTCCTGGGAGTGGGGCGGCTGTAGTCCCGATGTGGAGTTTGGGGAAAAATTCTCGCGGGACTTCCTGGATGCCCGCGAGACCTACCGGGACATCCACGCGCGGATGAGGCTTCACAACAACCGCGTCGGCAGACAGGTGGGTCAACGGTGGGACGTGACGGGCAAACGCGTCTCCGGCGTTGAAAGTCGTGCAAGCGTATCTGTATGGTCGTTGAGTGCGTACAGATCGGTCACACTCCATCAATACAAGATTGACGTCATCCAAGCAGACTCATCGAAGGGAAGCCGTTTGATTATTTAGTCGGCGACCTCGACATTCAGCGTCGGCTCCGTGTACTAGTATGCTCTTCGTGCTCACAAGTAAGACAATTTAGCGTGCTAGCAGAAGGACCGTGTCTTAATAATTGACTCATATGACATGGCTAGTAATTGTGCCTGCATACTAGTTGGTTGTCAGTAGCATTAATAGTGAAAAAAAAAAAAAACATTTCTAGAAAGCGGAAGTGTCGAATCCAGGTTGGGAAATTTAAAAAAAAAAAAACTGCCACAGGTTGGCTTTAGCTACACGTGCTTCGATTCAACGGGCAGATAAGGTCCCCCCTGACCAAAAATCCGGTAGGAAAACATGAGTCTGAACGTGGAGCATTCAGCCCTAGCGGTTGCTAGGAAGCTAAGGTGCTTGATGGCCGTCTAAAGATCTTGGATTGAGACCCCTCCCCCATCCAAAGTTCCATAGGATGGAACTTGAACTCGGGGAACTTAAACTCAGACTTCCATCGAACGGTGCCACTCCTCGGCGTTGGACCACAGATACGGTGCACGCCTGTTTCCCATGGACCCCCAAAGAGTCCTAACCCTTGAGTCCTAAAATATATGACATTTAAAAAAAAAAAAAAATGCTGCAGAACCTCAACTGTCGGGATAGTTAAATATGGGCAAAATATGCCGCCATCGAAGCTTGTCACTCAATATAGAATACTAATACTTACCGAAAATGGTGAAGCAATGGGAGAAGGGAAAGGTAAGCGCAAGCCAACTTCACTTGCGCTGTCGGCAGCGTTTTAGCGGCACAAAGCATTGGAAAAACTCAAAATTAACGAATGAAGCGGCACGAAAAAAAAAAAAAAAAGAAACGTTTATTTAGGCTGCGCGAGTGTACATAAAGCTTAGGCTGGCAAGCCGAGGTAATTCATTCATTGTATGCCATTGCGGAAAAGTTATCCGTGCATCGTGCGCTGTGTAAATGAGACCACAAAAAGGCCGAGGGAATTCTCCACGATTCCGCTGTCATTCATTCCTGCTTGAAATGCGGCGCCCCAGGCTTCACCTGTCATGTCGGGTAACTAACTTCTCCTTACATGGATTTCAAAACAAGACAAACAGTGGCATTCGTTGGAAAATTGCTGCCTTGGCTACTTTCTTCAAGTATTGTGAATATAAAAAAAGTCTACACACCCCTGCGATTATGGCAGGGACTCTATTTGTCATGTTCAAAAACAAGACCGGGATGATTATCATTTGAAAAACTTTTGCACTATTATGTGACCTGTAAACTGTTCAACTCGATTGATTTTTTTTTTTTGGGTGTTTTATTTTAAAGGAAAACTTCAATAAATAAATACATAGTACAGGGAATTTTAAAAATCTGGGGAAAAAAAACCCTAGGCCTTTACAATGAAAAAAAAATGTGGGAAAATAGCCTTCGAACAAGGCCGCAGAAACTTTTTCGATCTGCCGTAGAAGACAAACGTACACACTGTACATCCGCGCCTAAATACTTTCTATGCTTTGCACAAACATGACTGTGGCAGCTTGGCAGTGATTGACAGCAGTGATTGACAGGTTTCCTGTCAAGTTTAAGGTGCACAAATCCTGGAGCGCATCATCGCAAGATAAATGAAGGCTTATCAACGATCACATGCGCAATCGCAGACGCAACGACGCACAACACAAGCGGCCTTGTTTTCGAAAACAAGGCGGCGCAAACATTGGTGGACGCAGTGCCGGTTCCCGCAGCTTGTTCATTTCCAAAGGATTTTTTTTTTTTGTCAATTCTCTTCTGAAAACGGAACGACAGTACAGTACGCGCTAGATGAGCAAAAATAAGAATTCAGCCACGTTCCACTCCAGAGGGTCCCCTAAGGGCGGGGAGGGGGACCGAAAGGATACGCAAAGTCGTTCAACAGCTTCTCTTCTGATGCTTTACGAGCACTTTGATATCAGGCTCCTTCTTGTGGTTTTATTTGATCAGTGTGTCTTGAAGTTCCTCAAACATAAGAGACCGTTTCCCTTTTCCTTAAGACAACTGCCTACGGTGGTTGGTCAGCTTCTGGCCCGGCTATAGAGATGCTTTTTTTAATGTATTTATTTTTTACTCGACAGTTACGGGCGACTTTTGTCATTTCCTCACTTGTCTTATAACGTGATCCCAACTGAACAGAGTTGGGAGTGCTCTGGGATTTTTTTTTTTTTCTCTCTCGGTTGTGGGCGTGTGCTGATGGCCACTTTAAGTTGTATTTCAAGACCCTTTTAAGTGGAGTGAGGGATCTGTTTTGAAATATATGATACGTGTTCAAGATAAATGCTGAAAATGTGCTTGGTATGTCGTATGAGTTGCCCCTCCTCCGCTATATAAGAACTTAAGCACCTTCGTTAGTATTAGCGGTTACCAGCGCAAATTGCGACGTGCGCTTAGCTAGCTAGCTAGCTAAGCGCACGTCGCTAGCTACCTAGCTATATAGCTAGCTGTGACGACTACCCGAAAATACATATTCCCTTCAGATCGTCCACTGGCGTGCCTACTCAAGAGCACCTCGTTGTCATCTGGGACAAATTTGATCTCGAGGCACCTCAACAAATCATTTAAATAAAATGAATCACTCATGCAGCAATCGCTGTATTTTATTTTCTTAATTTAATGCTATTATGAGCAAAACGGTTCCAATCCAATTACACCTCATGAATGAAACACAAAATCAACCAAAGTGCTGTATACACAAATCCAAGGAAAAAAAAAGCAACAAAAAGACACCAAAAATGAAAAGGGCAAGGCGAAACATGAAACGCAGTGACAAAAGTCAACCCTCAAGCCCAGTTAAAAGCCAGCTAAAAAAAAAAAGGAGTTTTTAATCGGCGACTTCAAGACAGGAAGAGAAGTGGCCTGTCTGATGTTCGGAGTGAGATGTTTCCATCATCGCATTCCTTTTAACAACTAACTAACTTGTTCAGTGGTTTGGTGCCTCGGGCGGTGCAATTGACGGAGGTAAGCCACGACGATCGACAACGCTGCAGCAGAGCAAAGAAGCGTCTGTTTGCGGCGCATTGTTTCCGACTTCCTCCCGAGTAATTTGGCTCTGAATCTCTCCATCAGTTGACTTCTGGTCCTCTTGATTATGCAGACAAAACACAACATAGGCAGAGAAACAACACCGGGCCTCCCGGTGGTGTGCTGTCGTCGTGGAAATATTGCCGTTTCTTAAAAAGGTGACTGCGGTTCCGAGCAGCCCTGTGGACTGTGTGTCAGTCTTGTGTGTGGGGGGGCTCAAGTAACATGCAATCATGTCCTCACGAGCCAAGACAAAGAATAATTTGTCTTCCGAGGCCTACGATGTGTAATGTTACGAAACTCGCAGGTCAGTGGGGCTCATGTCTGCTTGGCCGCCGAAGGCT